GGTTAAGCATCATCGTCGAGAGAGATACAACTCGGATCACAAGCTAAGGCCCCTAAATAACCGCTTAGTGATAAAAGAGGTATGGGTGCAGAGATAGCCAGGATGTTTTCTAGAAACAACCACCCTTGAAAGAGTGTGTAATAGTTCACTAATCAAATGCTCTTGTGTCAAAGTTGAATGGGGCTAAGCAATTTGCCGAAGCTATGGGATGTAAAAATGCATCAGTAGGGGAGTGTTCCTCCTTAGGGGGAAGCACCATACACTTTTTAGCTATTAGGAGAACCCTAGTACTCTATTTCAGATCTATGAAAAAGGTCTCAGAGATCTTTTTTCCTTTTCAAAGATACATGAGTGAAGCAATCGACCTATTGATACTGGAAGACCCAAAAGATTCTTTCAATGTATCATTTCTAGGTCTAATGGAATTCTTAGGTATAAAAAGAAGCCTTTTCAAATAGAGATTTTTTCTTTCGGCCATATTTTGATTGTTAATACGATATATAAGGACTGCTACTACAAATAGTACTACACCTTTGATCGTGAAATGTCTAATGTGTCATTTCTAGTACAAAGTATGATACTCTAAATTCGGGGGTCCGAGAGTCTTATAAAACTTTCTTGGTGGAAAAAATGTGAATGAAAGATCTCACTGATTTGAATTGGGCCCATGAACCAAAGAAATAGTGAGAATTCTTGATCTCTCTCAATTCAAAATTCTAGGATTTGAATTGATATCATTTCATTAATTCCCCCTAAATTGCATTGATTTCTCCTAAAGATTTTATTTCAATTACAATTTGGTTATTCACCATATACAAGGATCCTCGCTAAGCATCCATGGCTGAATGGTTAAAGCGCCCAACTCATAATTGGCAAATTCGTAGGTTTAATTCCTACTAGATGCACGTCAATATGACCCTCCAATAAGTCTATTGGAATTGGCTATGTATCAATGGAATCTCATCATCTATACATAAAAAATTGGTGTTGTATATTCATATCATAACATATGAACGGTAAGAACTAACATTCTTATTGAGACTCAAACTCATAGGGAAGAAAATATATTTATAGATGGAATCAAATATGTAGTAGTTACAGACAAAAGTATTCGAGTAATGATGAAAAATCAATATATTTCAAATGTCGAATCAGGATCAACTAGGATAGAAATAAAGCATTGGGTCGAACTCTTCTTTGGTGTCAAGGTAATAGCTTTGAATAGTTATCGACTCCCTGGAAAGAGTAGAAGAATGGGACCCATTATGAGACATACAACGAATTATAGGCGTATGATCATTACGCTTCAATTGGGTTGTTCTATTCCACCTCTTAGAACGAAAAGAACTTAAATCAAAATAGTTAATAGCATGGTGATACATTTATACAAAACTTGTACCCCAGTCACACGCAATGAAGCCGTAGACAGTCAAGTGAAATCTAATCCATGAAATAATTTGATCTATGGACAACATCATTGTGGTGAAGGTCGTAATGCCAAAGGAATCATTACCGAAAGGCATAGAGGGGGAGGTCATAAGTTTCTATACCGTAAAAGAAAAGAAGGACTTGAATAATAGAAAAAGAAGATGAGCCAGATATGATTTATATAATTCTAATAGCGCTTCCTCCCCTATCTGTTAGTTATAGCCCTATCTTTTAAGTATAGTAAAAGTCTTTCCATTTCGTTACATACTAGCAGTTTCATATTCTTCTTATTCCTGGTATGAGACTCCCTATAATTAGAAAGCATGAAAGACATTGTAGACATCGTAATGACTTTTCGAATATTCAATATGATTCCACAAGATCTAATTTCGTTCAAGTAACAAATTCTAGCCAATTGAAAGGATCTTCTGATTAATCCATAGATCATATCGATTCCATTAGTAATGAGGATTCAAAATATCACACATTGATCAATTAAAGAGAGATTCAACAACTAAAAGAAAGATCGATTCTTTGGGATCCTTCATTTATTCAAACGGAATAAACGGATATAGAATCAGACTGATTCCTTAAATGCCTTTATCGATATTCCTCAATGTCCCGGCTATTCAAGGAACGTGAGAAGCGTATGAATAATCATTTTCTTCCAGAAGAAATCGAAGAATTTCTTGGGAATCCTACAAGATCCATTCGTTCTTTTTTCTTTGATAGATGGTCAGAACTTCATATGGGTTCGAATCCTACTGTGAGGTCCACTAGAGATAAGAAATTGTTGAATAAAGAACAAGATGTTTCTTTTGTCCCTTCCAGATGATCTGAAAATAAATAAATAGCTAATATATGCAAGATAATTGCATATTTATAAAATACCGTCTCAATTTATCCTATTTCATCAGATCTGGGATGTGATATGGTTCCGAAACATGATCTGGCAATTCCAATAAGATTTTATTCTTGAACAAAAATCCATTTTTTGATTTATTTTATCTATTCCATTACCAGAACATGGGGATACGCATTACACCACGATTTTGAATCTAAAGAGAAATTTCAATAAATCACATATATATCCACTCTATCAATAACCGAGTAGGAGAAGCGAAAAGAAACTAGACGTTTTAATGGCTCTCCTGTAAACCACGAGGATTAAAAGCCTTTCCTAACACCGAGTGCTAGCGCTTTACTAATAGAATATCAAGGTTCCTTTTTATGATTTTATAATCAATAACTTGTCCATGAATGAGTAATTACCCGTCAAGTACATATATAATCAACATTACTTGTCAGCATTCCACCGCCCTTTAAAACTAGACGTCACAGTAAGACGAGAAAATAATATCGCGCTGCCTCTTTCTTGTCCTTATTATATATATCACCTAGTTTCGTCATAAAACGAAAATTATATATCAGGTGATAATATATGAATATATTATATTTATAAATTATAAATTTTATTCGAATTATATATTATATAATTTTTTATTTTTATATATAACTCATAGATTGGCGTTTGGTTCGCTGGAATATTTCTGAGGGAATTGGAATCTGTGAATGAATTAGAATCTGTGAATGAATTAGAATCTGTCAGGAATTAAAATTCAATTCCATATTCTGTTTGGTTGGCAGGAAATTGAATTAGAATCCAATTTCATATTCTGTTTTGTTGGCAGACATGTCAGATGATTTGATTTCAGTAATATAAAATGACAGGATTGTCATTCTTGTTTTTTTTTTTACTTAATTTTAGTTTGTTTTATAAATTACTTGTAGCAATATATTATAAATATTTAAAAAAATATTAAATTTTAATTTTATTAATTTATTATTCATTTCAATAAATTATAAAAATCATGTTAATAAACATCATAAATTAAAATCATCCCAATTAGAGATTGTCATGGGTTGGGTTTTTAGTCGACCCGACCCGAGAACAAGGGAACCTCCATCCGAGACCCGACCCGACCAAATTAAAGTTTCACCCGACCCGACCCGAATATATGAATTAGAAACCTAACCCGACCCGAAATAATAAAAAAATTATTTTTATTCAATAAAAACAGTGACTTAATTGAAAAAAAATTATATATAGAGAGGTATTATTGTAATTATTCCTAAATATATAAGATAAAATTATATATTTTTGGGTCGAGTCAGGTCGGGTATTTTTCACCCTAAACCCGAACCCTACTCAAATATCACACTTAAAAAAAACTGACCCAATCTGACCAAAATAAAGTTTCACCTGACCTGACCCGAAATAATAAAAAATTATTTTTATTTAATAAAAGCAGGGACTTAATTGAAGAAAAAAATTATATATAGAGGGGTATTATTGTAATTATTTCTAAATATATAAGGAAAATTATATATATTTTCGATTCGAGATAGATATTTTTCACCCTAAACCCAAACTCGACCCGACCCGAATATTACACTTAAAAAAACCGATCCGACCCGACCAAAATAAAGTTTCACCCGACCTGACTCGAATATATGAATTAGAAACCCGACCCAACCTGAAATAATAAAAAATATTTTTATTAAATATATGAATAAGTTACCAAAAGATTGATGAGGGTAGTATGGTCAAATTTCAATTCCCTCCAACAAGGGGATTAAATTCCATCATAGAATTGATGGAATTCACTTTCCCTCATTTGATGGAAAGTTGAAGTCATGAGTGATTCTAATTCCCTTTAAAAATTTGAATCAAACATGAGAAAATGGTAGAATTAGATTCCAATTTCCCCTAATTTCAAGGGATTCCTGCGAACCAAACGCAGTTTAACATTTTGAATTTATTGATGAAAATAGGACACAAACTGTACATCAAGATTAATCAATGCCCTTGTCATATCCGGTAGAAAGTAATTGACACATAAAAGTTATAGATTAAGTTAGGTGATTGTTAACATTTATGACAAACCAATTATTTAAAACATAAATTTTAAATAATTATTATTGAATAGAATGTGAAAGAAAAATAACAATCACATTGTACTTTTTATTTTATAAGGAAAAAATGAAAATTTTAACGATTAAAAATGTTATTTTAGATGCCGATTTAATAGTGTCAGGATATCATCTATCATATTTCTTATTTGAGTAAACTCACACGTACAAATACTATTGTTGAAATCTAAATTATATATTAACGAAATCACTCACTAGATTGATCATTCTTATCATTAATAAATAATAATTAGAGCAGGGTTCTTTGAATAGAGTCCGCCCAACTGTAATATATCAAATGAAGCAGAGTGTCCAATCCCAGGATAGGTCTTGCCGAGGCCCCTTCCTCTGATGGTCATCTGACATTGGCTTAAAAAGTCATAAGTTAATGAAAAAGAATTACCTGTACATTCAGCTTCAAATTAAATTAATGTGATTATTATAATGATTGAATGTTTTAAGTACGATTAAACTCAAAGATTTGTAACAAACGCTGATAGGGTGTATTTAGACGATATTTAAAAAAGTTATATATCAACTAGTGTTATTTTTTTATTATGAGATCACCATAAAAAAAGGATTAATTTCTTGAAGATACACTAAATTATTCGCCAGTGAGTTGCACTGTCAGATATACTTAGAAGTTCCTCCAAATAATCAGAACCCAAATCCTCAAACACGATCATATTATCCATCTTCTCTTGCTTGATTTTCTTGGTCTCCGGTCGTTTGCGCTTCATAGAATACCTTTCCTTCATCGTCAAAACAGGAGAACAACCTTGTTGGAATCCATAGTTCATTTCCTGAAGTGACTTGTGAACTTGATCAATGGGGAAATTGAGTTTGGTCATTGGACCTCGCATTGCCAATGCAGCTTGATCATAGGCTAAAGCAGCAGCCTCAGCAGTATCAAAAGTTCCAATCCAAACTCTAACACCATTCCTGGTCGAATCCCTTATCTCAGCCGCATATTTTCCCCACGGCCTCTTCCTTACTCCTCTGTATGAAATCTCTTTCGATTCCACTTCATGATCGTCGGAGGTTTTATTAATGGAGTTTTCTGGGAGTACTTGATTTAGAACTCCGAAAAGAAGCATTTCCTGGGAATCGTTTTCGTTGAAAGGAAGGGCCGGTGCGAAGTTTTCTTGAGAAACATAGGAAGAAGATGGTTCAGGAGAGAAATGGAGACCTGGGTACTGAAAGAATGATGAAGAATCCATGTTCAAAGTAAAATTGGAGATGATAAATACTTGTTTTGAAGGTTAGGGTTATTTATAGAACAAACATTAAAAGCGTCAAAGATGATTGTTTGGTCGTTAATGGAACTCAAATGGACGTCGTCACTGTGGAGAAGAGAGTCAAAGGAAGTGGTCGTGGGGCATGGCGGCCATGTCACTTTAAATCCCTCCTCTAGCATCATCCTCATGACTTCACTTTGATTATGTCCTCCCTATCAACCCCATTTTGCTTAGCCGATGAATTACATAGTTAATAATCACAATTAGTTGGTATATGGTTTTGGGGTAATTTTAGGGATCTCATGAGTCTAGTTGGATTGGGTTTTTCGTTCAACCCAACTTTACCAAAAAAATATACACCCTTAACTCAGGTTTAGGGTAATTTCACTCAACATGAAATCCAACTCGTTATTGAGATAAAATTCGAACCGGATCAGATCAACCTGAAACAAATATATTTATAAAAAACATTATTAATTTTATTCAATAAAATATAGATTTAATTGAAAATTAATAATATACATAGGAGTATTATTGCAATCATGGTTAAATATATAATATATAATATATAATTACATTATTTTTTCGATTGGATAGAGTATTTTCCACTCTGAACCCGACTCGATTCAATCCGAACTTATCCTAAAAATCCAACCCAAACTCAAATTCAAAAGAAAGCTCAACTCAATAAAGTCAGATTGAGTAGAAACTCGTTGAATTCAGTCCCGTGCCCATTCCTAATAGTTTTAGTTTAATAAAATTTTTGGGTTTAAAATACTTTTTTTACTCTAGTATTAATTATACATATTTTAATACCTTATGCTCGAAACTTTAATGCGTATTAATAATTTTTTTCTCCGAATGGAAAGTCTGTATATAAAAAATGTTATTTTGTATCAACAAGGTTGGTTCAAGTGGTAAACAACTTGATATCGTTTAAGAAAGGTCCTAAGTTCAAGTCATTGTGTATTCAGAAAATCCATGGTGGGAGACTTACCCAAATCATATGTGCGACCCGGATTGGTCCAGATTAATCAGGACGAAGCCTTGAACTAGAGGGCAATTAGAAAAAAATAGTATTTTGTAATATTGCACGAGTGGGGCTATTTTGGATTTTAGACAATATTCAAAGAGCGCCTACCAACATGATTTATGGACCTTATTTACTGCATTATTTAAAAATATTTTGCTTTCATTTTTTTTAGACGAACGAACTCGAATCTATTGGAAAACAAAGGGATGTATTATGAAAATATCCTCTCCCTATATTTAGAAAAATCTAAAATAGAGACGTAATTTAAAAAAAATCATGCATGTATTATAGTTAATGAAATTTAATTCTTTTATAACTAATGATGGTTGGTTATCATTTTAATAATATATTTTAAAAAAATTAAACTTATTTTTTCTTAAAGGTATAATAAACGTACTTGTTGATAATTAAGCTAAATTTTGTTACATCTTAAGAGTTTTGATTTAAAAAGATGATTAAATATTAGAGGTATATATATGAGAAATAAGCTACGCCGCCTCTTCTCATTTTGAGCAAGTGATTTAATAACTATATTTTAATGTAAAACCGCATAAGAAGAACACGTGGGAACAGCAGACTTTTAACCAAATCATTAGCGAATTGAAAATTAGTACTTGGATGGGGGACCATTGTTAACTCTTTCGAAATGTGCATGAATCTAAATATCGCATATAAATCCATAAAGGAATGTTTAGGGGATTCTTTTCCTACAAAAGCCTTCAACAGTAATAATATTTTTTTACTTAATATTTGTCACGTGTACGTATTACCTGCAAGTTGCGGTTTTTGCAGTATAATCTTATTGAATTTTACAACCTTGTCTGTCCCCGGTCCAAATTAATTAGGCAGATGGAACCTAAATCATCTTTAAAATAAAAGTTGTATGAAAAGGATACAGTCCTTAGGTTTATGATTCATCCCCCCATGCAACTTTAACAATTTATCAAGGCTTCAGTTTTGAAAATTTTGTGTGGATAAGCCCATAGTATCTTTCCCGAATAAAATAGAACTAGTTGATAACCCTTTGGTGCTTAAGATTTTAGTTTTAAGGTGACACGTACCACGTCACTCAAAATAATGATATGATGTGTATCACCTCACCAAATAAACATATAAAAGTATCATGTCAATAATATATATTGACCGTTAACCAATTAACGGTTTCTATCCAATAATATAAACTATTTTAGTCAAAAATTAGAACGTTGAAAACTAAAATGCTTAAAAAAAATAAAAATGATCATTTGGGCAAAAGAGAGCTAATTTTATCATTATACCTTAATTTGATACAATATCATTGATGTGTACGAAAAAAAAGTATTACTTCGACCAATATTTCTAGGTCGGGGAATTTTGCTGCACTCCGCCTAGTGTTTTGTGGCCTTGATCGGTGTTCTCTTACTGTTTTCTATATTTGGTATAAGCATAAACAGAGTAACAGATACGGACCGACCCGTACAGAGGAATCATATTACACAAGGACCAAAGTATTGTACACCTATTTCACTATTTGTAAATGTAAGTTGAGGTATAAATAGGCACCAAGAAACAAATATCTAATATGTAATATGATCATAGTCCTTTTATTAGGATATATTATTTGTTAACCATATGCTTGTTAGGTTAACTGTTAGCTTGTTTTTTCTGTTAGCTTTGGTAGTTAGTTAGCTCATAGTGCTTGTATATAAACAGCCTGGTACATCACTTTTTTTAATATATGAAAGACGAGAATTTCATTCTTTCCTTGCTATCTTGATTCATGGTATCAAAAGTTTTGTCTCTTTTTCACGCTTCATCATGGCTACTTCATTGAGTGATAGCTTCGACAATGGGGCTAATCCCTATTCTTTGCGTCAGTTCAATAATCTCGGTGTTGTTTTGGTAACTCAACTGCTATCCAACGATAACTTCCATAGCTGAAAACTTTCGATGGTGCTTGCTCTCTCTGCCAAGAACAAACTCGGATTTGTTGATGGTTCCATTGCAACCCCTGATCCGTCCATGGTAGATCAGTTCAATGCTTGGGCTCGTGCCAATAATTTGGTGAATTCTTGGATTCTGAATCCAGTTTCCAAATATATTGTTGTCAGCTTGCTTTATCATACTTTTGCTATCAAGACTCAATCTGGTAATCGCAAGAACATGCCTTTGTGCAGTTATTGTAAAATTCTTGGTCAATCGAAGGATAGATGTTACAAATTGCAAGGTTATTCAAGAGTTATAATTCCTAAAATTCATCTTCGAATTCTTTGACTAATAGTAGTAAACGTTCTCAGGTGGCTCACACAAATTCGACGGTTTCTCAACAAGATTCTTCTTTGATTAGTGATGTTTTCACACCTCAGCAATGCCAGCAATTAATTGTTATGCTTACATCTCAGCTTCAAAATGCTTCATCTTTGGACGTTCCTTCCACGTCCATAAATAATACCATGCAAGGTAAGCTTTTATCACATATGGACAATTTATCTCTTGGAAAGTCGAATTATTGGATTATAGATTCTGGAGCTTCACAACATGTTTTGTTATTCCAAGTCTCTTTTGAATCTTTATTTCCTATCACAAGTTGTCCAGTTACTTTGCCTGATAGGTCTACAATACCAGTCAAATTTGTGGGAACATTCAGATTCTCTCCTGATTTTGTTTTGTATGGTGTATTGTTTGTACCAGATTTTCAATTCAATCTACTATCAGTTAGTGCCTTGTTAAGCAATTCTGATTTTAGTGTGTTGTTTTGCAAAACAAATTGTTTGATCCAGGACCTTCTTCATCGAGTGATTGGGAAGGGTGAGTTGTTTCAAGGTCTCTACCTGCTGCAGATGTCTTCTTGTGCATCTAGTTTTCCTTGTAATATTGTTTCTAGTGATTCGTTCATTGCTTGGCATAACAAACTAGGTCGTCCTAGTTCCCATGTTCTGCATTTTCTTAAAGATGTTTTATTTCTAAAAACTGTAAAAGCGAGAGATCCTTGTCAAGTTTGCCCATTAGCTAAGCAACAAAGATTATCGTTTCCTATTTCATGTTCTCATGCTAAGCAACATTTTGAATTAATTCACTGTGACATATGGGGACCTTATAAGCATAAAACATATTCGAATCAGACTTTGTTTCTTACTTTGGTCGATGATTTTTCGAGATCTACTTGGGTTTATTTGTTGTAACACAAATCTGATGTTAGTTCGATAATAACTGGCTTTATTTCTATGGCTAAAAAACAATTTGGTTTTGATGTTAAGCGTTTCAGGTCTGATAATGCACCCGAGATGAAATTTATTGAGTTGTTTGCTAGTTTGGGAATAGTTCATCAATTCTCTTGTGTAGAAACACCTCAACAGAATTATGTGGTTAAGAGGAAACACCAGCATTTGTTGTCTATTGCTAGAGCTTTGTATTTTCAATCAAAAGTGCCATTTAAGTTCTGAGATGATTGTCTGCTAACCGCTACATACTGATTAATCAGCTTCATTCACTTATTCTGGAAAATAAGTCTCCTTACGAGTTTTATATGGTCATTTATCGGATTATGGTCGTTTGAAAGATTTTGGATGCCTTTGTTTCATTTCCACATTGAAATCACAGATAGATAAATTTTCTCCTCGTGCTTTACCTACTGTGTTTCTTGAATATCCTCCAGGTGTAAAGGGGTATCGGGTTTATGTGCTAAAAACTCATAAGTTTATGGTTTCTCGCAACGTGGTATTTCATGAGAACATTTTTCCATTTCAAAACGTTCAGTTGCCTGATCATTTTGTTGATGTTTTCCAGGATTTTTGTTTACCACACATTGTGCGAGATTCGGTTGATCACTCACATGTTTTCGAAACTCAACATACACATAATGATTCATTGCTTGAGGAGCAAACCAATCATGACATTATTGTGGAGGAACACAATGTTTCGTCTGGTGTTGATGATGTTTCTGGCGAATCAGGTATTGCAGAAGCAAATAATTCCTAATGTGGTTCCACAGCCTGTTCGACGATCTTCTCGTGTTTCTCAAAAGTCATCCTATCTTCAACGTTATTATTGTAATAATGTCTCATCTCAATGTTATTATCCTATTGAAGATTATTTGTCTTCTTCGAGGTTGTCCTCTGAGTACAATGGTTTCGTTGCCAACATTTCTTCTCAATGTGAGCCATCCTTTTATCACCAGGCTGTCAAGTCTTCCGTTTGGAGAGATGCTATGGATGATTGTAACACCCCAATTTAGGGGCTAAATTTTAGAATTATAAAGTGGTGGATTTAATTGGTATTTTGGAAAAAATTGAGGAAAAAATTGTAAAGTCGCAAAGTTAGAATAGCTTTTTAAAACATGTCTAAACTCTCCCCGTGAGTTTTCCAGAGAATTTTTCAATTTTCCCTCCCTCGTTGACTCTCTTTTCCACTTCGATCTATTCACCGTTCGGCCTCCGTTCGACGAACCGAAACCACCATCGTGTTCGTTGTCGACCGATGAACCAAAACCCTCAAACCTTTCGTCATGAATCGTCGTCGTTCGTCGTTAATTTCAGTTGGAAGTATCGTCGGTTTTAACTCGATTTTCGTTGGTTTTTCGTCGATTCACGACGATTCGACCATCCGTTTTCGACACCTCCCGCACCATCGTGTTTCTTGCATCGTTCCGAGTCCGCCGGTGTCCTCCGTTTCTCCGTCGTCGCCGGCGCGTGGAGGGGTGAGAAAGTCAAAGTTTTTGATGTTTCGAAATCGAGCTCTTCACCGTTCAAAATTGTGAATCGAGCTCGGTAAGTGTCTCAAAATGTGTCTTAAAATAATTATTAGGAATTTTTCCGGGAATTTTTCGACACCGTATCATTGTTCACACGCCGTCACTGCGTGTAGGGGTGTTAGTTTTGTAGTTAATTTTTGTTAGGGTGATATTTGTGTAAAATTTGGGTGTTAGTTTTGTAAATATTTGTAAAAGGTGGCTAATTTTGTAATTAATTTCTGTTAGGGTGATATTTGTGTAAAACGGTCGACTGTTGACCGCTGCGTTGACCGTTGACCGGCGTTGACCACTATTGACCAGAACTTTGATCGGCGTTGAACGACCTTTGACTTTGACCAGGTATACCTATCCTGACGTTTTTCGACGTTCTGAGTCGGATTTCGTAGTCCATTTTTCGAAATTCGGACCCGAAGGCCTCGAAATTGCCAGTCAAACCCAATGACTTTGACTTTGACCGAAAAGTCATATTTTATGTTTTGACATCTCGAATCTATTTTTGGGGTCCGTTTCGCCAAACTCAAACCCGGTAAGCTGTTTTTGACTGATTTATCACCCGATTCGATCTGTTTTTCAGAATTAAGCTCCGTTTTTTTGTAATTTCTGTTGATATGGATCCGAGGAAATATTGGAAGTTGAATTAAAGATCAAAGGCGTTCGAATGGAATTTATATGGTCGATCAGTATGGTACGAAAATCGAGGTAATACTTTACTACCTCTTTATGCTTTATAGAACATGTGAATATTGGTAAATGCATGATTAAGATAATGTTGGTCTCATTTGTGTAGTTAATTAATTTAATTTATACACTCGATCCGAATACGTTAAAAAAATTCGGTAACTGATTATGACTCATATGACTATTATAAGAAATTGGAAGACAGTTGGAATTAAATTACAAGTTCTGGGATTAAGTGATAAAGGAATCAGACATGGATATGTAGATTATAATTTATTCCGTCCAAGGTTAAACGTTAAGGGCACTTGGATGAGAAAATGAGAATACCCCGGTTTGGTAAAATTACAAAAATACCCTTATGTTGTAAAATGTCAAGAATTATCCCTGTAAGTTGATTAATAACTCTGAAAGGATATATTGATCTGATAAAAGTACAGATGTACATAAGAAATGCTAGTTTGCTTAGAAATTATGGATAACCGGTTTTTGAACCCTAAGAGGGTTTGTGCAAGATACTAGAAATCTGTTAAGGAATCATTCCAAGATCAAAGAATGTTCGGGAAAGCAATTAACAATAGGATCTTTAAATTATAATTATTTTCGTTATGAGTTAATACCGAAATTATCTGATTAAGAAATTACGAAAATACCCTTGAGAGGTAAACTAGTCTGAGTTAACCCTGAATGAGAAAGTACTTTGAGAATTCGTACTTAACTCAATAAATTACGAATTTAATGGTTAAGATCCGTCTTTGTACAGAAAATTCCTGATAAAATGTTTGTAACTTCTGAGAAGCAATGACCTGAAAATTTCCGAATTAAGAATAAATTATTAAGGGTGCTCTTTTGTCAGAATTGCTCGAAAGAATTGGAAAAGATGGTACGTTTAAATTAAATAATAAGATCAGATGGGTTATAAAGGGTTGAAATACACTGGATCAGTAAAATGACCAAAATACCCTTGTAATGGAAATGACTCAAGAATATCACCAAGCCCAAGAATGAATGGACATCTTCAAGTTTTGAAATAGATGGAATAAAACTGAACACCAAAATACCCTTATGGCCTAGACTAAGTAGATGTTTTGGATTATTTAAGGACTCCAAATAAACATGGATGTTGTAGCTCTTAAAAGTTATGGAACGCAGCTTAAGTCAGTCAACCAACGCTAGTGTTATATCAATACTTGAATGGCATATATACCACTTGAATGCTTGTTCGTCTCCTCAAGATTGGATCAATGATAATTCTGGAAGTACTCAGCTAAGCTCAACTCTAGATCGCATTCGATACTAAGAAATGGATATTCGTTAGACAAATCAATCACAAAGACCAAATTGAGTTGAACGGAAGTACAATATGTATCCAAAATTCAGAAACGTCTGAATTACTCTGGGAAACCCCGAAGTAACGAGAATTAACTTGACCGCTAAATGAGCTAAGTAACCTCAATAATTGAGGATTAAGTAAGTGATTTGGATAAGTCTAGAAACTCTGATGAGTTTATAAAATGTACTGTCCTTATAGGACATGTACTACAAATCAAGCACGTTAGTATTTCATTATATTGTGGAAGCGTGGAAATGAAATAAAGACCATTGAAAGATCTATTCAGCGATGATTCCGAAGATAATCTATGAATAAGAATTTTTTGTATTAAAAAGTAAATACCCTGGAAAGATAATGTATTTATCAATCGACAAGCATTAATTCTGGGAGATATTCATCTAGAGTTGTTTGGTAATGAAATCAATCGACATAGACTGTAAATGCCCTGAACCTTCATTTCTTCCTTATCAGCTCAAGTCTCATTCTGAATAACTGATGATTCCATCAGTTATTGATCTCTTCCAATAGTGATTCTAAATTCCAACATTTTATCGACATACTGAAGATCTGTGTTTCTCTGCTTGATGAGATTATCCAGTACCTCTGAATAATATCTGTAAACTCTGGTGTGTTCCCTAATCATATAAATATTTTATCTGATTTTCAACTTGAATTCTGTTCTGAAACATGACCTGAATTCTGTTCTGATTTCTGACATGGATTCTGTTCTGATATTTGTTCTGAATTCTGTTTTGATTTATGATATATCCGTTTATGGACGGAAAAAAATGTTTTTAATTGGGGGTATTGTTGGAGGAAGTAAATCTGCAGGCTTCTCGGTTGTGTGCTCAGGGCCTCACTGGTTGTGCAGGGTGTATGGTTCCAGGGAACCTACACAAACAGATTGTGAAAAGATAAGGGTGTATATATATATATATATTTTAAAAAAATATGTATCTTTTATTGGTTTTACGGGAATACACTAGATAACCTATTATGATCTCCTGAACTTAGTCATTCGAAATACTTATCTGAACTGAAAGCTCATTGTCTGTTACCCCTGAAATATCAATAGGATCTTCGCTCAGCATAAAATCTGTAGATGTTCGGAACCAATAAGGAATATATATTTATCTGTATATGTACATTCTTCAGCATCATATGGTAGTTCTATATTACTGAGCTTTCCAAAGCTCATTCTGTTACTCATCTTTTCAGGTTAAAAGAATTGTACCAGTGCAGCTATCGACTTCAGTAAGTGAGTTCTTCCACTGTTGTATGCAGAGTATGATACATGTGATTAGGGGGCATGTAATTGTATTTTGTTTTATATACGAATCTGAAAATTTGTTTTATTTCTGGATACTGATAAATCATTTTATAAGTTACATGTTTTAATAAAAGTTTTAAATTTTTCGCTATTTTTACAGTGGGTCGCTCTGATGGCCCTGATGTGACACTCCATATCGGATCGGGTTACCCGTATCGGTCTGAGGGGGTTACAATGATGAACTTTGATCTATGGAGGTTCTTGACACTTGGTCCATTGTTCCTTTACCTGAAGGCAAGAATTCTATCGATTGCAAGTGGGTATATCGAATCAAGCATAAGGATGATGAGTCGATTGATCGTTATAAAGTTCGGCTAGTCGCCAAGGGTTTTACGCAGGTTGAAGAGATTGATTACATGGATATGTTTTCATCTGTTGCTAAAATGACTTCTTTTAGGATGTTGATTGCTCTTGCAGTAGTACGAGGGTGGTATTTGCTCCAATTAAATGTCAATAACGCTTTTCTAAATGGGGTTCTCGATGAGAAGGTTTACATGAAATTGCCTCTTTGGTACATGCCTGATCTCAAAGGTGGTAACATGGTTTGTAAGCTTCGTAAGTCTATCTAAGGGTTTAAACAAGCATCCCGACAGTGGTTCAATGCTTTTTCGAGTGTCATTCTCAAGTTTGGTTTTCAACAATCACCTGTTGAACATTCCTTGTTCACTAAAGGATTTTGTGACACTTTTGCTGCTCTCTTGTTTATGTGGACGACATTGTAATTGCTGGTGCAGATTTGTAGTTACTCCATAAGATTCAAAGTCTTCTACAACAACATTTTAAGCTAAAGGAGTTGGGCACTTTGCATTATTTTCTTGGGTTTGAGGTAGCTCGAAGTGCATCTGGAATTTAATTATCTCGGCGAAAGTATGCTTTGCAATTGCTCGAGGATGCAGGATGTTTGGGTGTGAAACATGTTGATTCTCTCATGGTTCATTCCTTGAAATTGAGTGCTGATGAAGGGGAACCATTGCTTGATCCTCAAGAATATCACCAGTTGATAGGTCAACTTCTTTACTTAACTAACATCATGCTTGACATTGCTCATACGGTGCATTTTCTAATCCAGTTCATATATTCTCCTCGTCTACCTTACATGACAGCTTTGAAACATCTTCTCGCTTATATCAAACAATCGTCTGGTCTTGGTTTCCTTTTTCCAGTTCACTCTAGTGTTCAGTTGAGTATTTTTGTTAATTCAGATTATGGTTCTTGCCCGGATACTTGACGTTCCACATCGAGGTTTTGTGTTTTTTTTTGTGATAGCCTTGTCTCTTGTAAATCGAAAAAGCAAGCCATTGTTAGTCGATCTTCATGTAAAGCAGAATATCGGGCTATGGCAGTAACCACTTGTAAGCTGGTTTGGCTTACTTCTTTGCTATCATCTTTTCATATCTTCATCGATTTTATACGTCTGTATTGTGATAACCAAGCTGCGATTAATTTGACAACTAACCAAGTTTTTCACGAACGAACTAAACACATTGAAGTTGATTGCCATTTTCTACTCGACAAGGTCAAGACTGGTTTTTTGAAGCTTTTCCACGTTCGTTCTTCAGATCAGCTAACTGACGTGTTTACAAAGACTCTTCGGGCTCCCATGCATCGTGATTTCATTGCCAAGTTGGGTCTTCTTAATATCCTTGCAGTCTCATCTTGAGGAGGGGTATTAGGATATATTATTTGTTAACCATCTGTTTGTTAGGTTAACTGTTAGTTTTTTTCTGTTAGCTTTGGTAGTTAGTTAGCTTATAGTGCTTGTATATAAACAGCTTGGTACATCACTTTTCTGATATATGAAAGACGAGAATTTCATTCTTTCATAGCTTTCTTGATTCGTATTCCATGACCTGTTTTTTTTTCCTGCACTCAACATTCGGTCTGTCACAGATTGTATCAATATTGGTTCAAAATAATTGAAGGGATACATAGTCAAATGATTCATTAGAAGTTGTAGATTACCACCATATTAAGTGGTTCATATCACATCATTTTAAAATGACATGAATTCTTACCAATATGCTTAGACCTCATCTTTCAATGGCTCGCTCTGAATAGTCTCCTTTATTGCTGGTGAAACTGAAGAATGCAGATTTTTAAGCTCTTCTAACTGTACCGAAGAAATGTACAACTCAGGTGACTCGCAACTAAAGTTCGATTTGGAGAAAATTATGGTGTGCAAATTAATCTGTTAAATGAACTGTGCGAGATTGGTCATCAGTACAAACTTGTAATGCTTAACTATAAGCTGCAACGGTTACAATACTGTGCTAAAAATGTTAAAAAATAGTAAAAACTCCTGGAGTAACATGGAAATTTGCAGGGGCGAAATGAATGCAAAAATTTCTTCAAGATAAATAGGGTGATCAATCTGATTAGTTTATGTAATCATCCTTTTGAGAGGAAAAATTCAACATGCTTGAACCATAATCGAATGACAACATAAGGAACTCATTGTGCCATGACTCAATAGTGAAGACAGAGTGGGGATTTTCATCTAAAAGTATGTGAAAATTATAGTAATAAGAATAAAGAAGCTTTTATATTTGGTTAATAATTGAACCTTGTAAACCAGTATAACAATTAGGAATGACGCTTGAACTTGTATTTGGTCGACAGGTTACTCCAATGGTCTATCATTGTTACATAAAATGCTCACATCGTAGGTTGACTGATGCTAAGTTAGTACGTATCCTGTCAAATGTTTATTCCTAAATGCCAGTGTCGTTGACTTGGACATGTGCCAACTTAATATTAGTCAACAAAGCTACGCCAACTATTTATGCAATGGTGTAAGTCCATTAGGTTAACTTGCTTCAGGGAAATGAATTTAAGCACCCAATTATACATATATATGGTGAAAAATGCTTCCTTAAACAACTAATTCAAACCATACCTCTTTGCAAGCATCCTCATGCTTGCACAATACCTCATTATACTTTCTTCGCAAATCTGACAGCTCAGCTTGTAGAGAAAAAAAACAATTAATTATCTCTCAACATTCCCTGACAAAAAACATAAATGGATGTGAACCATAAGCTTCAGAGTGTAATGTAATTAACACTTAGTTAAGCCATTTGCTAGTGTTATGTGCGGAGATTTCAGCTCCAGTACTGTATGGTCTGCAAGCATGGAAAATAACAGTAGAGTCTCTACAAGGTCAAGCATTTGCAGATATCAACAAGCAACGGGCTTTGTTACTAATTCTTTTAAATATAAGTTACTTGGATAATTCATTTTCCCTGAATCCGAGTCCGATACATTATGCTCCTCCAAGATACCGTAAAAATTAATTAAACATTATGAAATTCCAGATGATACTCTTTTTTCGGCTAAAAGTTAAAACAGCACCTAAGATATGTTTCAGACATTGCTTGTTTCTTCTGAAACAGAATTGGGTGAAACTAGTCAATTTAGTTTGAAACACAGATCTGAATATATATAAACTTGAACAGATGACATGAAAAACTCAATTGAAAGATTGAATTCTGAAACTCACTCAAGGGCTGAAGATGGTTTCTCATTTTGTTCATACAATGCAACCAAAACTACAAAATAAAAACATGGCATTAAAGGAAATCAAACACCCACATCAAGAAACATGTTAAAATAAGAGAGAATTAAAAAAAACAAATAATAAACCTTTGGTGAGAGCATCAACAACTCCACTGGATTCAAGATACTTCCTAAATGCTTCTTTCTTAGCCTCTTTTTCCTAAATCCAAAATCTGGGTATTTAGTATTCATAACTAAAAGTGTTAAATATCTATGTTTCATGTGAAAAAAAAAAACAGATAGAGAATTCGACCATTAACTAGAAAACCCAGAAGCTTCAGCAGTTGGCTTCTCTTCTTTGCCGGGAGCTTCTGTGTTATGAGCAAATCTAAGATCTAAGTTTAATGTTAAGACATAATCATCGATGATGTTTTGTTTCAGTTGCCAATTGTGTCGATTAAGGTGTTCCAAGCTGAGACCAAACTTGGAAAATTACATGTTTTCAACCATGGGATTGGGTGGAGTACAGTTGGACACAGTTCCACTTTCCAATGCTGCCTAATATTGTTGGGCCTAGCCCATTTGCACATTTTGGGTAAAAATTTTACATCTTAACCCTGCTGCACCGAATAGTAATTTGAACTTGGCGTAAAGTATAATTAAATAATAGTATTAATTTTTAAATTTATAATATCATCTCTAAAAGAATTGGTTATCTTCTCAAAAGTGTCTTTCAGTATTAATATTAAGTGTTTAAATCTTAAACTAGGTAATCTAAAAAGTATTTTTAAAAACAAGGATGATAAATAAAAGGGTCAATTACACTTATAGTACTTAAACTATCAATTTTGATATATTTTAATACCTAAACTTTTAATTTTTTTAAAATCATAACTGAAGTTTTGTTTCATTTTAGTACAATCGTTCAAAATTTAATGTTAATTTTTTAGAAAAATTAAAAGTTTATGTACTAAAACGGACTAATATTGATAGTTTAGGTATTAAACGTATTAAATTTTTAACGGCGGTTAGGGATGGCAACGGGCCGGGTTCGGGCCGGGTATTTGTCCCCCCGTCCCCGTCCCCGTTTAAAAAATCGGTACCCGTCCCCGTTTAAAAAACCGCGGGGATTTAAACGGGGATCCCCGTCGAGTAATCGGGGAAAACCGCGGGGAAACGGGTATCCCCGTTTAGCAAAACGGTTATTAAACGGGTATTGGGGTATTGGGTAGGTAGGGTATTGGGCCGGGAATCGGGCGGGATATATATATATATATAAATTAAATATATAAATATATATTTTTTATTTAAATTAAATATTAATATATATATATATATATATATAATTATTTTAATATTTATGGGTCGGGTATCGGGGCGGGTAATCGGGTAATCGGGGCGGGGATTACCAAACCCGTCCCGTTTAAAATAAATGGGTTTCCCGTCCCGTCCCCGTTTATCATCCCCGAACCCGACCCGTTTAATTCGGTTTTCGGTTTTCCCCGTCGGGTTCGGGTTTTTTTGCCATCCCTAACGGCGGTTACTAAACTGAAATAAAAACTAAAGTTAGGTATGATTTTGAAAAAAAAATGAAAATTAAGTACTAAAACAAATCAAAACTGATAGTTTATATACTATATGAGTAGTTTACCCTAAATTAAATTCATCACACATTTAAAAAGTAATTAACCCTAATAAACAAGCATGAAAACTCCACAAATTTACATCTTATATTACCCCAAGTTGCACTGTCTCATACTAGAAAACACAGCTAAAAGCTCCAAGGACATGTCTTAAAGTTGTTGTTTTGCGTCAGGAATCCTTAAGCAAAATAATGTGTGATTTTCGTCTTTCTTTCGATCACCATTAAGAAACTCTCAATTCTCGTCATCACACTGACCACCAGAGCTCCCTCCACGACCTTCAGGTGATCCGACGGCACTTCCAATATCTTGCTTGCATCCACCTTCCATTGCCTTGCCACCACCGTGAATGCCTTCTACAGAAGAGACACATGCAAAATCCGGAAACCCTCTGGCACCGAATGCTCCACCGCGACCTGCGGATCTAGCTTCACTTTGCAGTATGTTAAAGCCAGTGTTTCCGCTGGAGCTCATGCCTACCTGACCGTGCATGGCTTGTTGCTGTTGCAGGGCCGAAAATGGTTGCTGAGCATACAACATGGAGGCCCGTGAGGCCATAAGCGATTGCGGTTGAGGTTGTTGGTGCGGAATGTAGTGTCCACCTCCTGCCAGCATAATACCATTGGAAGGAAACTACAAGCAGTTGAAAAAGACAATCAGGATATCTATTATGGCTGTTGGAGGGATGGAGAAATGGGATTTGTACCTGAGCGTGCACCGCGGGCGGTTGTGGTTGAGCATCCGCAATTGCAGCCAAGTACATGAGGTTTTGTTGCAGCCTTGACTGGTTCCTGAAAGAATTAGAGGTAGCTAGTAACTTTGTAAATTTGATAGACATTAGAGACTGAAAATCAGCACTTACTCAGCACATTCACTCAATCTCCCAGAATTCTGGCTCTCAACAATCTTTAAGATCAACGACTTGTTTTCGTCGAGATACTGCAAGCATTAGAGTGAAGTTATCCTTGAACAAATTGAGAAATGCAACACTAAATTGGAAAGATGATGAAATGTAAATCGTTCCTCTGAATTCGAGTTGAAGTTATTTTCGAAATCAACCTAGCTGACGGCCGGTTTGATTCATATCCAAGTAATTTAAACATCATCACCAACTAATGTACCAGAAAATTACAGGCACAGGCACAACAATAATGATACGATGTCCAATCAAAACTTCAAGAAAAACCAGAGATAGTTTCACAAGTGTTAAGCGTCTCATTAATTAATAAAAGAGAGAGAACATCGCACACTGGTCTCATCTCAATGTGTGAGTACGTAAACATGAATAACCCTTGCAACTGCAAATTGAAGACGAGTTCCTAGCCAGCGTGAATAGCCTCATGTGTGACAGTAGCTTTTACAAGCAACACAAAGAAAACTACTGCTTCCATTGATATTTCACTAATCAAAGAAGAAGAAAAAACCCAGAAGTAATGACTACAAGGAGAATAAAAACACTGCATGACATAGTACATACAGATCAAAAACGAAAAAAAGAGAAAAGAAAGAGAAAGGGAAGGACCTGTTGAATATGATCAGTAGTGACATTATTGGGATAATAAGCTGTTACCATGGGCTGCATGAGGTGCTGTTGCATTTTCTTTCTGTATTTCCAAACACAATCTCCTCACAAAGAGAATAAGATCATAAAAGTATGTGTGTAATGTGCATACACGTCCCTTTTTACATGAAAATAAAAGACAAAACTCACTCCAAAACAATGTGAGCTGAAAGAGTAGAATGACAGCATAAAAAGTGCAAAGGAAAAGAAAGACAAATAGAGATACATACCCTTGCTTTTCTTTTTCCTATGTTTCTTTCTCGGTTACAATGACACAAAGGAGAGAGAAGCGATAGAACTGAAGAAAAAGAAAGTTTCTCTTATTCTGAAAGCTCTCTTTCATTGCTGACTAAGAACTCGGAATTTCTGGTTTCAAAATGAAAATATTAATACCACAACATGTTGCTATGCATGAACACGTAAATATCTTATAATACCAAGATAATTAATTTAAACTAAACAGGATCACGAAGAATATATGAAATATCAAAGCTTTATAAAGTTGAGAAAAAGACAGAGCCGTGCAAGCAAAGGAACAGTGAAAAAGCAAAGGTTCTTGCAGTTGCAGTAAATTTGGAGTGACATGGAAAAAGGAAAAAAGTTATTTCCTTTTTTTACTACATTCGGACATGATTGATCTTTGAGCCACTTTGTTCCAAACTCAAGTTTCTTTTCATTTCCAATTTTATTCAAATCAGTGTACTAAAATAGAGAGCTGAAAGGGTCACGTGGTTTCTGCTAAAGCTGTCCAGTCGATATCCAACTGGCTTGAAATGCAACTTTAATGTCAGTCCATTATTAATAATAAGGTCAAAGTGAGGTGACCCACAGTCTTATAATGGAAACCAACCAAACCCTAATGGCTCGGACTGTGTGGTGCGTCGGCAGTAGAGTTTAGGGTTACAAAGTAGGACGAGTTATCTAGCAAATTATTCGAGATTTATTTAATTAAAATTTGATAATTACTTGATTTGAGTTTTTAATAAATAGAAACGAATTATTTAGTTGTCGAAAAATTTATGAGTAGTTTAAAAATATAATATATTAAAATTTTGTTAAAAAATTAAATTATTAATAATATTAACATTGAATTTTTAAAAAACTTAAGATTTTCATGTATTTAAAATTTAGGTTTGAGATTTCAATATAGTTAAATTTAAGATTTCTTTTTTTATTTTAAGTTTTTTCGAGTTTCAGTTCATGATTTTAAGTTTAAGTAAAACTTAAAAATTTTAGATTCGCAAGTTTTAGAATCAAATCAATTTTTATTTCAGAATTTTAAAATCAAATTAAATTCAAAATATTCAAACTCAACCCGACTCGTTTACCGTTTTAATTGAGCTATCAAGCCACTGTTTTTGGGTCACCAAATCACTGAACGCATCTAACTTTAACAATTATTGCTCACCTTTGTTTGTGGGTTGCCCTGTCTCTAGGGGGTGTTTATTCGGTTAATTCGGTGGCCGAACCGACTGAACTACTATTTTCGAATTAACCGAACTTTTTTTTTTCTTTAACCGTTAACCGAATCGAACTTTTTTTCGAAAATATTAACCGAACCGAATAAATTTCGGTTAATTCGGTTAATTTTCGAATTAACCGAAAAATTTTAAAATTTTCTAATTTATATAAAAAATAAATATTTTATAATTCAAAAAAACAGTTTATTATTAATTTAAATAATATATAATTATAAAATAAAAATTTTATATAAAATTTTTAATTAATTAATATTGATTTAGGTTTAAAAGTTATTGAATCTTAAATTATTAATTGGGTTTTAAATGGTTTGGGTTGAGAGCATATGTCATATATAATATATTTAATATTTTTAATTCAAAAAAACAGTTTACAATTAATTTAAATAATATATAATTATAAAATAAAAATTTTATATAAATTTTTTAATTAATTAATATTGATTTAGGTTTAAAAGTTATTGGATCTTAAATTATTAATTGGATTTTAAATGGTTTGGGTTGAGCCCATATGTTATATATAATATATTTAAAATTTTATTTCGATTAATTCGGTTAATTAACCGATTTCAAACCGAATTAACCGTTAACCGAATATCCAAAAAAACCTTAATCGTTCCCCGACCGAACTAATTCGGTGGCCGACCGAATTAACCGAATTAATTCGGTTCGGTCGGTTAATTCGGTTAAAACCGAATTTTGAACACCCCTACCTGTCTCTTCCTTTTTTTTTTTGAACCCTGCACCAGCAATCTTGTATGCGAAAATGAAACAGGGGTCTGTAATTGTATAGCGCAGTACACATTTTACTACACTTTATCATGTAAAAATACATTCTGAGATAAAATTTAATACACGTAATTAACTTCATATTAATAATTTTTTTTTAAAAAAAGTGGATGCTCCCAGGTTGCCTAACGTGATGGGTGGTTAGGGTGTCTCATTGATGTGTGAACGCCCGAATTCCAACTCTTATCTTTTCGTACCTCTCTTAAGATGCTCCTCTGTTCTTGCTGCCGCCTGCCATGCCTGTCTGCTTGTTATTATCTATACTTGTTATAAATATATTTTATTTATAATTATACAAATAATAATATTATGACTATAATAAATATTTAATTCTTTTATAATTATATTCCGTTTTTCTAAAAATTAGTATATGTGTCTTTTTTATGATTTTTAAAATATCATTCAAAATATAAAAAAGTAATATATTTTTTAAATTATTTTTTGAATCTATTTTCTTTTGTTTCACATAGAATAAAAAATATTTTTTACATAAAGTATTTTTTATAAAGTATTTTCTGTCTATATGACTATTATAGGTACAATAGGACTAAAACGAAAAAAGGACCATATATATATATAACATGTCATGCCCCGATTACAATCTTCAAAAACTCAATTACTGTATGTTGAAAAGATTATGTTTGAATACTTGAAGAAATATCATATTTACACAATGTGAGATTTGATAAATTAATTATCAGATATTAATTTTGAGCTCTCAAACATAAGTCATGAACTTGATCAAATCATAACTTAAATTTTGTGAATTATTATCTTTTGAGATATTGGGGATTCCAATATAAAAAATCATCTTTGATTGTTGTAATAAAATAAATTTAATTAACTTCATAATATATTATTGATAATTAAAAAAATAATATTGTGTAGATAAAAGTTTTTAAATACCATATTAGGTAGATACATGGATAGACCGAGGAGGCGGGTGAGGGTAGTCTCCCTAAAAATTTAAAATATTTAAAATTATCATATATTTTAAATTTTTTATGTATTTTCTGTTAAAAATTTGTTTCGCCTCCTAAAATTTTAATTTTTCCTCTAGAATTTTTATTTGTCTCCTTAAAATAAAATCATTCTTCTGTTCCTATGTAGATATATGTTATTTTTGGACGAAAATCGTATAATTTTTTCGTATCTTTTTACTTATTTTTCCCTTTATTTTATTTTTAGTCTAATTTGTGTCTATACTTACGTCATGTAGGCAGAAAGCGTTTCTTTGAAGGAAAAAAATTCTAAGGCATTTTGCTTAAAAACGTGTTTGCCATGAATGGCAGAAAAGTATACTAATCTTAAAATAAACTAAAAAGGATATTATTAGTAGCAATACTAATTTTAGAATAAATTATGTATTTATTTATTTAATTATTTATAATGTTTTGTATTAATCATTTAACTGTTTTTTAAATAATATTTAAAGTTATATTTTGATCTTATGTCATTAAAAAGTTAACAATAATAATAGCGGATTATCATAAGATAATGTCACATCATTATTAAAAAAAAATAAAAAAATTCATGTCAATACTTCTGTTTATTTTTTAACAGTTATAACCAAAACAGAACTTTAGGTATGATTTCAACAAAAAAACGGATGACCAAACCGAAACTATAAAAATAATTAAGTGACTGAATACATAGTTTAATTTTATTTTTATTAGGATGATATTTAATAAACCATTTTTATTAGTCTTAAATATAAAATAAGTGCCCAAAGTATTGCGTTTTTTATGAATAAGTGTCTAAACTATTTCTTGAATGATTTCGGTGTCTAATGTTGTAAATATTACCACTTTAGTTCTTTGGACTGTCTACGACGTTCAATAGCGCTTTTTGCAAACGTTGCAAATGGTGTCTAACGGGTTGAATTGTATCACAAAAAGGTGGGTCAAATTCGAGTTGAGTGAAATCATCCTAAACTTGAGTCAAATCGAGTCACATTTCGAGTAAAAGATGTATATTTTCGAATCGAATTGGATTAACGAAAAAACCCGACTCAATCCGACCCATGTCTACCTATAGGCGGAACTTCATGGGGATGTCAAAGGAAGCTTTACCCTGCCAATTATTTTTTAAGTATTAATTAATGTTAAAAAATATATATATATTTGAAAAAAATAGAGAAAAATTTACCAATCCCCCTTAATTTAATAAAAGAAAAAGAAAATGATGTTTATAAAAAATAAAATTTATTTTAACTCGCTATAACAAATTCCTACCTGTGTCTGTCCCTAATATTGATATTATAAGTTAGAGAATACTTAGATTTAAATCTTGACCATATATAAATATTTTTGGTTCTTAATTTGAATTATATATATATATATATATTGTTTTAAAAAAATTAATATATATATATATATATATCAAATCTCTTATCAGACCTAATATAACCCGAACTTATGAAGCTGAATGTGTAATATGTTTCATGCAAAATTTATGTTAAGAATAATACAAGAAAAAAAAAATCTCAGTTGAATTTTCAACATTACTTTTCATGATATTTACAAATACAATTTACACGAGAACAGTCAAAGCTACGGGAAAAAATCTTATTTTTGATCAGTTCCATTACTACTTTCACGACGAACTCCGGAAACACCGGTGGTGCAGCATGATAAGCAGCGACGCCGCCGCCACCTACTGCATTCATTTCAGTCAACGTGCACCGTCCGCGGCTACGACCGGGTATATTCGTGCACCTATTCCCGGCCGACGGCGGAACCGGACCCCTCTGAAGTGATTGAACTATGAGATTCTCGTTGAATGAGTGCACATCATCTTCTTCATCTAGAGGTCTGGTGGCCCAAAACAATGGCGGAAATGGATGTAACGTCGAACTTATTAGTAACATAAAAACAAGCCATTAGTTTTTGGATTTTTTAGAAGAAAAATTATAAATTTGGTTTTGAAAGAATTGATCGGTCCTTGGGTGTGTGTTTGACATGAAGAATTTGGTGTTAGGGTTCGTAGCTTTATATAAGCTTTGTTGATGGTTTGACTGCTTAAAATGCCGCGGCAAAAGAGTTGAATAAATTGGGAAATCATGGACTTTGAATAAATAATATATTACCAAGTCCAAATAAACTTTTATTTTAATTTTGTGAACTAGAATTGAATTAGTCTAAATAATATAAAAGTAAATGAAGAAAAACATCAACAAATAGTTTATATTAATTTGTTCAATTTGTTTCTGCTGAGTTGACTCAGTACTTCAAGACTACAGATATGAACACAAAGGCGATACAACAAACAATTGCTATAACTGCATTAGCCAGGCCGGAAGTATGAGATAACGATGCATAGGTGCCTGAGAAAAAGGATATGACCATTGCAATAATAGCATAGATCAATAAAAATGTGCTGAGGCTTGTGTAGAAAGCAACACGATTAAGCTTTTCCATAAACGAACTGTAGAAATGGAACACCATTGATAAGGTGGACAAGGCAAATGCTATAACGTTTGCCATAACAGATACCCTGAAAGCAGATATCCCGCTAAGAGTCGGCGTTCCCTCATCTGGACCATCGCTTTTGTAGCCACCAGGCACGGTGAAACCGGCTGCAAACGACACTGTTGCAACGAGTGTCGCTACAAGTGCATCTGTGTTGCCTATTTGCTTAAGTTGGTCATAGTTGAGGTTTTTTAGTCCTTGTCCGCCTATGACTTCATCGTCCATTGCAGGTTCTAACTTCCTCTCTGGTTGTTGTGCTTGGTCTGTTTCTCTTGTTTCATTTGGTCTTGTTTTTCTACCATGCTTGTTTATTGCAAGTTCCCAACTTTGTAGACCACCATTGATTGCAGCAGTCATTGTGAACCACTTCTGCAAATTTAGAGAAAGAGCTTCTGTGGTAAGGGTGTAATCGAACCGATCTCATAACCTCGAGTAGGACTTGAAAATTTGGGTCATACCTTGAAGTCGTAACCGTGGTCCTGCATGAGAAGAATGTCCAGAATGGTGTGGCCCGCCGAGTTTGCCACGGTCTTGTCTACCCTATTGTCTTTGATCAGAAATTCGAAGATGTCCTCGCAATGTCCTTGGATCACAGCAAGGTGCAAAGCAGTGTTACCTTCATTATCTTGCTGGTTTATAAGTCCGCTGTGCGAAAGACGGTTTCGAAGAATGAACCTGACAGAAGCAAGCATTTTAGTAGCAACAGCAAGGTGAAGAGGTGTTTGGCCTTTATTATCTTGTAAATCCCAAATCTCCGGAACGAGATTTGAAAGCCTTTCCAATATGACTACTTCACCTTCTCTTGCAGCAATGTGAATGACAGACCTGCCTTTTCCATCTCTAACATGAGCAGCCGAACCATTTCCTTTATATATATATTCGGAAAACAGCTCGACAATGTCCAATGCACCAAAGTGTACTGCATAGTGCAGAGGAGTCCATCCCCTCTCATCTGTTTGCGAGAGTGCAGATCGAATTTTTTCGACCAACATCAATTGTGCAACAAGATCTAGGCCAAGAAAGAAAGGTTTAATTCAGCATGGTAAAGGAGAAAACTGAAAATGGATATCAAAAGATCAGAGCAAGTGAATTTACTCTTGTAACCGAGTTTATGGCCGGCAGCCCATATTCGACGGATAGAGCAGATTATAGCAGAAACTGACTTGAGCCCGTATTTAAAAGAAGAATCGGTCATTATATTCTGATAACTCATAAGCTCGCAGAGATAGTCAACTATTGTAAAAACTAAAAAATGGAGAAACAAAGAAAACAACAGTTAGCTTGGCTGCCAAGAAAAAGCTTTCCATTACCTTAGTGAGCAAGGTTACCTTCATGCTTTGACCGAATAGCAGCGACATGTAAGATATTAGTACCATTCCTACCGTCAATGGAGAAATCTGGAGCAACTTCCAAGATATGTTGTGCAATGTGAAGATGCCGTTTATCCAGAGCAATGAAGAGTGGGGACTCGCCAACACCATTTGTTAAAAGAGTTAACTCTGGATCTTCTCTGATCAACAGTTCCGCAACCTGATGATAACCATTTCTCACGGCATCATGAAGCGCAGTATCCTTGTTCGAATTCACCATCCTTATCAGCTTCTCTCCTGCCTCGATTTCACGACTCACGCTGTTCGCAAAGTTTACGAGGACTTGGCACGTTTTCAAACTCCCCAACCTTGCTGCAATATGCAGTGGAGTGTCGTGTTTTGAGTTCTTTTGATTAACAAGTAGCCCCGATGACGGCAATTTAACGATCTCTTGAGCGATTTGGTTAAGGTCGTATTTGGCTGCAACGTGAAGAATGTTGTCTCCGTTTGGTGTAACCTGGAAAAGAAGTGTTGAATCCGGGCCTGCTAATTCCTTCATGGACGCTACGTCACCTTTTATTACAGCTTGGTACAGTTTAGGATCCATTTCCTTTGGTGTTGTTTCTACTGCATTAGAAGGATGAATAGGTAGAGGATGTAGTACAGGGAAAAGAATTTCAGAATTGCTTCCTCTGGTTGCAAGCATGAATTCTTTGCTTGTTCCTTTTTTACAAAAACTACACGTGCATCGTGCGGGAACATATCGAATCCAAATAATTCTTTTGCAAATATGGTTTATATGAATAGAATTCTCCAGCCCCCTTTAGTGCCCCACCAATAATCAATGGACTTTTGGATTAATCTTTTAATTTCCTTAATATAATTTTTGCAGTTAATTCACCAACCGTTAACTCCAAAAAGGAAATGGAACCTTTCACTAAGCTTTTGATCAAAACCTTACATATCCAAATCATAATTTTATTCGAATCTTCTCTCAATCTTTTTATCTTCTTCTGCAACTTTTGGAGTTCCCAAACGATCCCTCTTCTTTGAGCTTAATAAGAGCTTATTGTGGCTGTTATTTCACTGAATTTACCATCCATCGGAATTTGATTCCGGCCAATTGATGAGGAGTTGATCGATTGCAACTTGCGGTCCAAGATAAATGGAAAAAGGATAGATGTGGTCGGAGTGATGCGTGAAATCGATGACTGTAAATGCAAACCTTGGGATTTGCCCGACTTTTCTGGTATAATGAGTCGAGACTTGGGGTGATTCTTCATTTTCCCGCTCGATCGGAAGTACCCGAACGAAAACGGGTTCAATCGGGCTATCAGTGTTGGTTACTGGAAAGTTATTGGAAACGATAGGAAGATAAAGTTTGGGTCTAGCTTGATCGGCATGAAGAAAACTCTGGTGTTTTTACATCGACCGAGCTCCTAAGGAAAAGTACAGCAATTAAGTTATGCACGGGTACCGTGCTATCCTCGATTAGTTCGACGGCACCAAGCACGGGCATTCCTTTTCTTTTAACTTGAATATTGAGTCTTTGGTTTGACTCCAGTTAAGGGTTCGATCCTTGAAAATTCTGGGTTTAGATACATATTATCTATGAGATTGCATTATGGTTAAGTACTTGGCATTAGTAATTACCATGTTTTTTTCCATATTGAAGGATCTTTATGCAGTAAGATGTATAGTTAGCGCTAATAGCCGCTCATTTACACTGCATTAGTGTGCATTCTTGGCTTTAGGCTTTGATGAGTTATTTTTTGTCATTTGGCTGCTATGTACGTTTAGTTCGGTAGACGAAAGAAAATAAAAGGTTACGAATTCTATGGCTTATTACAGCAATTTTTACTTCACCAGTGAAAACCAGTTAATATATTCATTATAGTACAAGATGATGATAATCATGTTAGGAAATAAACCAAGTAACAAGTAATTTCCCTATAGTCAGATTAGTGAGAATACGAAATAAAAGCGGAAAAATAATACCCGAAATTGATAACGGAGTTCAGCCAATTGTGCTTACGTCTCCGGACTGCTGCAGATCTTTTACTAAGAGAGAAAATTTACAGGTGTTTACAAAACACTCACTACTCACAAGAAAACTCTCTAGTATTGGGAGAAAGAAATGATTTTTGGGATGGTTTTGAAGCTAAATGAGCTAGGGTATTTATAGTTGAAACTTAAGGACTTAATCTTGTAAATACCCTAAAGCTTAGGGATTAATTGTGATTATCCCATTATCATTTTTCAACAAACATCTATCAAACTTTGAAAAACTATTTTTCAAAGAAACATTTACCAAACTTTGAAAACCATTTTCAAAGAAACATTTACCAAACTTTGAAAATCATTTTTTCAAAGTTGGTTACCAAACTTGAAAACCATTTTAATACTTTCAACAATCTCCCACTTGAAGACTGATTTTAATATGTCTTCACACCTCGATCAATGCAACAGCTTTTCTAGTCTTGTTACTCTAGCATGCCAACTGAAGTTGAACACAACTTCAGTTTGTCTGTAGTCACCGTCTTTGTTAACATATCTGCCGGATTTTGAGCTCCACTGATCTTTTCAAGTTTCAAAATCTCATCTTCCAGAAGAGATCGGATAAAATGATATCGCAATTGTATGTGCTTTGTCCTGGAATGAAAAGACGGATTCTTTGCTAGATGTATAGCACTTTGACTGTCGCAATACAAGATATTGTTTTCTTGTTTCTTGCCTAACTCTTCCAAGAAACTTTGGAGCCAAACCATCTCCTTGCTAGCTTCCGTAACAGCGACATATTCTGCTTCAGTTGTGGAGAGAGCAACTATCTTCTGTAGTTGAGAAACCCAACTCACTGCGGTTCCTCCTATAGTATAGACATACCCTGTAGTGCTCCTTCTGATGTCAACATTTCCGGCTAAGTCAGCATCTACATAGCCTGTTAGTATCGTATCTCCACCTTTGAAACAAAGTGCTTTGTTTGTGGTACCCCGCAGATATATGAGGATCCATTTGACTGCTTCCCAGTGTACCTTGCCTGGATTATTCATGTACCTGCTAACAGCTCCCACTGCTTGAGCAATATCTGGTCTGGTAAAAACCATGGCATACATTAGACTTCCAATCGCTGAGGCGTACGACACCTTCACCATGTGTGCACGTTCTTCCTCCGTCTTTGGTGACTGTTCTTTGGAGAGTCTGAAATGAACACCTAAAGGTCTACTTACTGGTTTAGCATCTTGCATGTTGAACCTGGAGAGTACTTTGTTGATGTACTCAGCCTATGATAATATCAAAGTCCCTGACTTTGTGTCTCTCTTGATCCTCATCCCAAGAATCTGTTTTGCAGCGCCCAGATCTTTCATAGCAAATTGATTTGACAATTTTTGCTTCAAGTTTATAATCTCTTGCATGTCTGAGCCTGCAACGAGCATGTCATCAACGTACAACAATAAAATAATGAAGCTATTGTCGAACCTCTTGATATAGCAACAATGATCTGCTTGGCATCTGGTAAAACCACTGCTACTCATGAAACTATCGAACTTCTTATACCACTGTCTAGGAGCTTATTTTAAACCATACAAGCTCTTCTTCAACCTGCATACCAGGTTTTTCTTGTCTGCCTCTATGAAGCCTTCTGGCTGCCTCATATAGATTTCTTCCTCCAAATCACCATGAAGGAAAGTTGTCTTTACATCTAACTGCTGAAGATGTAAATTCTCTGCAGTTACAATTTTCAACACCAGTCTGATTGTAGACAGTTTCATGACTGGAGAGAAAATTTCATTGTAGTCAATACCTTATTTTTGCTGAAAACCTTTGACAACCAATCTCGCTTTGTAGCGTTTGCTCCCATCGTGCTCTTCTTTGATCCTGTAAATCCACTTGTTGTGAAGCGCTTTCTTGCCTGGTGGTAATTCAACTAATTCCCACGTCTGATTTGACAAAAGCGAGTCCATCTCATCTTTCATGGAAGACTACCACTTGACTGAATCCTCCACTTGTATTGCTTCATCATAGCACTCTGGTTCACCATTGTTAGTCAGCAACAAGTAGTGCAAAGAAGAAGAATATCGTTGGGTTGGTTTAGGAATTCTGGAGGAGCGTCTTAGTTCCGGTGTGCTTGGTTCTTCTTGAACTGCTTCAGGACTGATCTGAACATCATTTCCAGAAATCTCCTCAAACTCAGCAAATTCATTTGTTTCAGCTTTGGTATTGGAGCTGCTTGATTCTACAGTTGACCTGTCTTTGTACATCACATTCTCATTGAAAATGACATCTCTGCTTCTAATGATCTTCCGATTTTCATAGTCCCAAAACCGGTAACCGAACTCATCACCGCCGTAACCAACAAAGGCACATTTATTGGACTTAGCATCAAGTTTACTTCTTTCAGCAGAGTCTATGTGTACATAAGAAATACAACCAAACACTCTTAAGTGTGAAAGGTTTATTTCTTTCTTGCTCCAAACTTCCTCTGGTATTCTGTCATCCAGAGGAACTGAGGGCCCATGGTTGATCAGGTAAGCTGCAGTGTTGATAGCTTCAGCCCATAGAAATTTGGGCAATCCGGCATGTATCCTTATGCTTCTGGCACGTTCATTCAGAGTTCTGTTCATGCGCTCTGCTACGCCATTCTGCTGCGGTGTTATGGGAACTGTTGTCTCCATCTTGATCCCATTGTTTGCGCAGAAATCTCTGAATCTACTATCTCTGTACTCTCCTCCATTGTCAGACCTCAACCGCTTGACTTTTAAACCAGTCTCATTTTCCACCATGGCCTTCCATTTTCTGAAGGTATCGAAGACTTCTGATTTCTTCTTCAGAAAATAAACCCACACCTTCCTTGTTGAATCATCGATGAAGGTGACATAATATAGTGAGCCTGCAAGAGATGGAATTGGGGATGGTCCCCATACATCAGTATGAATCAATTCTAACCTTTCTGCCTTGGGTGTCTTGCCAATCTTTGCAAAGCTGACTTTCTTTTGTTTGCCAAAGATGCAATCCTCGCATAGTCCGACATCTACATTCTTTAGATCCGGCAGCTTCCCCTTTGACAAAAGTATCTTCATCCCTTTCTCGCTCATATGGCCAAGCCTTTGGTGCCATAGGTTTGATTTTCCATCAGCATCTGCAATGATATTCTCTAAATTTGAGGTTACATAGAGAGTACCAGTCTTCTTATCATGAGCAATGACAAGTGCTCCTTTGGTAATCTTCCATTCACAACCTGAAAAGGTTGTACTGTATCCTTCTCCATCAAGCTGTCCTACAGAAATCAAATTTCTTTTGAGACCAGGAATATGTCTCACTCCTGTCAGTTTCCAGGTGGTCTGGTTTGGCAATTTTAGTCGGATGTCTCCTTTTCCGACGATCTTCAAGGTTTCATCATCAGCAAGATGAACCTTCCCAAAATCACCACTGACATAGTTCTCCATGATTTCTTGGCATGGCGTAGAGTGGAAAGATGCCCCTGAATCCAAAATCCATGATTCAATCAGACTGTTAACGCTTAAAATCATGGCATCACCTGTTTCATCCGTCATGTTGGCAGATTCCTGTGCGCCGGTATTTTTCTTCGGTGCTCGGCAATCTCTTTTGAAGTGACCCTTCTTGCCGCAATTATAACAGGTAAAATCTTTATTTCCTGTTCTTGATTTTCCCCTTCTGG